CGGGCCAGGACGGCATCAGCACCGTCCGAGGGCTGGCCACTGCTGGACTCCACGTCGGAGATGCCCTCGTCCTCCATCGAGGGCGTCCTCGAGATGTCCTGAGAGTCACTCTGAGACGACATTCTATCTCTAGCTCGAGGGTTCGGGGGAACTATGGTTTCTAGTGAATTCTATCTCCTAAACCGAGGGCGCAACGTACAGCTATACTAGAAGGAGAAAGGCAGGGAGCACTGACCTCGAAAGCTGAGTTAGGACCGAAGGCTTGAGTTTCTCTCACTAGATTTTTTGGCAGAGCTTCGCTAAGACAACTGAGTTCGCACAGGGGAAATGGCTCTGGCCTTGGGGTATTTATAGGCGATGAATCCGGGCTTGGGCCTGGATTCCGGGCCTCCGGACGGACCGCCATCATTACACACCGCCGTTTCACCCAACCGGTGACGCCGCCCACGAACAGCCAGCCATCACACGCCACGTGTGCCACCCCCCCAACGGCTATATCCTGTCGTTACATATTCCAACGGCTATATTTCCAACGGCTATATTCTGGAAGCCCCCGGGTTTTCTACTTCACTCCACTTCATCAAGAATAGCCTCCGGGTGCACTCACCCAGAAGTGCCCCCGGGTTGTGCCCCACACAGCACATTACACACGCCTTCGGGATCACTCCTTCAGAAACCCAGGGCTTCATATCAGGACACCCCCTCGGGGATTCCCCCTCAGCACTGCAAAACCGGGTAGCCCCCGGGGAGTTGCCTCATTGACGGATGACCCACGGCACACAGGTAATGGGAGCCCTCGGGTATCTTCATCACCGACCAATCAACAAACAGTGGACCCCCCGGTAACAACTCCACTGCTGCCTTCATCTGGCAGGCCCTCGATCCCCGAATTGAGGGGCTCCCCTTCGGCGCCACCAGGATATCAACAGCAAGCCTTCGGCTAATCAACACAAGAGCCCTCATAAGAGAGAGCCTTCGGCATTCCCGTCATTCTCCATTTTTTACCAAGGTTTGACATTTTCGATTCATCATTGGGGGAATTCGGTGCACTCTTTTCCCTCATTAGGATTTTTTTCCCAAAGGGGTTTTCCTAATGAGGTTTTTAACGAGGCATCCCCCCAAAATGAAATGAAAAGCGTCAGCCTTCGGCCAACAACAGCAACGCAACTACTCTACTCCTTTTCACCACTTTACAAGTGCCTCAAGGAGTGGGGGACTGGAGGACCCCCTCGGGAAAATCATTAAATTACAAAATCTGTGAAATTCCAACAAACAACAAAGCAAGCCCTCAAGTCCCGACATGTGGGTAACTGAGGGACTGCCTTCGGCAGGGACATAAAAGCAACAACTCCTCACCAACTTCAGAGATCACGACGGGACAACATCAAAGAGCAAGCACAAATTACTCCTTTTCCCTCAACTACCTTTCGGCAAAAGGAGTGAGGGACTCCTGATGGAGTATATGGCCCGGGAACCCCCGGTCCACAGACTCCTACTACTCCAGCGAAGGACCAACAGGCCCAACAGGCCCAAATCACAGCGCCCAGAGTACCAAGCAGCCCGCACAACGCGCCCGGGGTGCCTTCGGCCCGCTGGCCGAAGGCTCCAAATTCTCACAGAACAGGTTTCTCAAGCAAATCAAGAAACTGGGAGAAAACGGCGAAAAAAGTATCCCTCGGCACTGTGAGCCCTCGGCACCAGGGTGCCATCGGGTGGAAGAGCCCTCGGCTACTGCTCTATAGCCGAAGGCATCTCACTCGACAAGATATCCGCCTCACATGCGTACAGATCACCGTACCCCGCACAGACGTCCCGTCCAACAGCCGCATTAAATGCGCCCACATGCGGCTGCCAGCGCCAACCAGTTGAGGTGACCCCTCGGCCAATGAGCGCTTGACACGTGTCCCTGCCCGGCATTTATTGCTACTATAAATAGCACCCCATTTCCTCATTTGTAACCACGCTGAAAACGGCATTCATATTGAATACACTCTCTCTCTACTTTTATTTACTTGCTCTGACTTCTCTCTAAATTACTCCCCGTAATAACCCTTCGGATATATACCCCCGGGTAGACTATCCATCAATATCTATGTCTATATCTATATCTATATCTATGTCTATATCTATATCTATATCTATATCTATGTCTATATCTATATCTATATCTATATCTATATCTATATCTATATCTATATCTATATCTATATCTATATCTATATCTATATCTATATCTATATCTATATCTATATCTATATCTATATCTATATCTATATCTGTATCTATATCTGTATCTATATCTACATCTATATCTGTATCTACATCTATATCTGTATCTACATCTATATCTATATCTATATCTATACCTATATCTATACCTATACCTATACCTATTCCTATACCTATACCTATACCTATACCTATATATATATACCTATATATATATATATATATATATATATATATATACCTATATATATAGATAGATAGATAGGGTGCAGTTCTGATGAGAAAACTCCTTAACGTGAGAAATGAGAACGCTCCAAATCGATGCACTTTATCCTTCACAAAACTGCACATTTATAGTTAAAGTAATGCAAAATTCTAATGTGCACATTTACATTCAAAATTTCGCACAGACGAAATGCACATTTTCCAATTTCCTATATGCACGTTTCTGTTTTACATGATGCACAATGCTAAAATCCAACGCTCCAGAATCATATATATACCTATATCTATATCTATATGTATATCATATTTATATTATGATATACGCCCTAGAAGTAGTTATAAGCGCTTCTACAATATCTCTCGAACACTCCTAAATCAGCTTCTCCTTTTTGAAGGAGCATAAACAGTTGTAAAATACATTTCAGAGTCTCGTTTACCCATTCCGCCACGTAAACAAATGGTGGTGATAGATGAGCTTAAGGGCATCTACGTTAATTCTATTTCTATTTTGTTTCAGAAGGAGCAGAATCAGAAGTGATTCTAGTTGGAGTGTTTTGTTAATTATTGTGATGCATATAGAAAATAAGCAATAGAAAGTGTTTAGATGATTTGGCGTAGCTTAAACTCACTCGTTTTTGTAAATTAAAAGAAAAATGTTGGTTATTACCCACAATTTTATAAATTCGATAAGGATGCAATGGCTCGAGCTCAAACGAGCCTAATGAATTTGACTCGAGTTCAATTCGGACTCGACGCATGCTCGACCGCTCATATAAGTTGCTAGATGAGCACCAACTCAAATTCGATCTAAAAATAATTTTTGTTTAAATTATTAATATTATAAATATACACACAAATAAAATATAACATGTGCGAGTCTACATATGTGTGTGTGTCCGACTTTGGCCACATAAGGTATTTCAATGGAGCTCAATCATGATATCGATCTCAAGGCAGGAGGTAAGAGCAAAAAGACTAAGTGCACCACATCGAAATCCGATGATGTTTACTTGAAGCTTCTTATGAAGCGCCACCGATTTTCTGGTAAGAAGAACCAAAAGCAAGTTCAATCTTGTGAATTGAAGCGCATGTTCATGAGCAAGATAAACATGTTTTCACTTGCCCTCTCTTTAGACTGATGCCTTTCGTGTCGGGAAAGGAATGTAATAATATTGTGTTGGTGGGCACTATTGAAGATGATGACATGGCATATGAAGACATAGCAGTCAAAGTTCATGCATTATATTGAGGTTCATCAAAACTACGACGGTAATGACTGAGAAAGTTGTGGAGACATTTGACTAGCTGGCTCTTAGGGTTTTATAAGGGCATGACACGCTTTTACTTAGAGATGTCTAGAGAATTTATATGAATCAGTAAAAAACACTTTAGTTTGGCTTCAGGTTCCCCTCACATATGTGCGCTGCAAGGGAAGAAAGTTTGAGAGTGCTAGGGGTAAAAGAAACATGAAGTGATATAAACTTACTCTTCATTGTATTGATATAATATTATTATCAAAATTATCAAAGAATTGTCTTATTTTGTATATTTGAATTCAAACTTTGCAAATAGACTTTAGTTTGCTCTGACGGTACTAGCTTTCTTGTCCCTTGCATCAATTTCCCTATGAATCTCAAGTTCCCTATTTACATTTGATATTTTTCTATAATCTATAATATATATAAACACACACAATATGTATTCTGATATTATGTAATGGCTCATTAATTGGCTCGCAATTCACGATCTGTAAGAAATCGAGATCGAGTCAGATCGAGTTTAAGTTTGATCGAAGTTTAGTTTTGCCCAAACAACTTAACTCGTTTTCACCCCTAGATGTTATTAGATTTTTGTAACACTAATTCTCTGTATCAGTGTAATCAATAGTTTAATGCTCAAACAATGTTGATGTCTTGTGACTCTCACATTTGTTTTTGAAGTTGTCTTAAGGTGTTCATCTTCAATCAAATTGCAACTAATAGTTCAATGCTCAAATAATATCAGATTCTTACAATTCTTGATCCTACATGCTCATACATTACCTTAGAATAGTATTCGAGATATACATTGGACTTTGGGTGAACTAATTTTCTTTAAATAACTCAAGACTACAAAACACTACAAGAAAGTCGTTTAGAGACCATTTTCACTTCCATATGAAATATCTCTTCAATGCTTCATTGTCCTAACTCAAATGAAAGCTCACCTTAAAGCTCATAGAATTTACTACAAGATGTAAAAAAGAACCACCAAAATCCATAAAATCTAGATCAAGTTATGCTCAGATTAACTGGGCAAAAAAACACAACCATATATGAACCCTGAACAAGAAATCCTAAAATGAACTCCAACCGAAGCCTTCCTCTCGGAGTCTTACACCGTCGATTAGATTAAAATCTCACGGCTGATATTTAAACAATATTAAAACTTCTCGATCCGCGGCATACTGTCTAAACCAATCAGAGAAGAGCTTCTGGGTAAGAGGTTATTCCTGCCAACTATTTAAAGAACCCGATAGTTTCTCTCTTTCACTGACAATCACTGATCTCATCTCTTTCGCATCATCTTAGAATCCATCTATCATCGCTCCTATCCCCAGCCTGTGATTTTCACCATTTCTTCCGGCACAGAAATGGCCACCGAGGAACCACTCTCCGTCGACGCCACGGTTGCGGCAGTTGATATGCAGATTGCAACCGTTGAGACTGCCAATGACGACAAACCGAATACCGCTGCCGAGTCAATCGAGCCGAAGAAGGGGAAAGAGACCAAGGCGAAGAAATCATCCGTTTCAACGAAGAAGAAAAGCCTTCGTACTCATCCCTCTTACTTCGAGGTACGGATTCCTGATTGTTTTGATCAATGATTTACAATTCAGTTTGTTAATCTGTCGAATCTAATTTGGTTTTACCTTGGAATTCCGCAGATGGTTCAGGAGGCGATTGTTGCTCTGAAGGAGAGGACTGGATCGAGTCAATATGCAATTCAGAAGTTCATCGAGGAGAAGCATAAGACTCTGCCTTCGAATTTCAGGAAGTTGTTGCTCGTTTATCTGAGGAAGCTTGAGGCTTCCAATAAGCTCGTGAAGGTGAAGAATTCGTATAAGCTTTCATCGGCTTCTAAGCTTGCCATTTCGGCAACCACGGTTAAGAAGCCCTCGGCTGCAACTGCCACCAAGTCCAAGGCAACAACCAAGGTGAAGAAGGCTCCTGCCAAACCTAAAGCCGCCGCTGCCAAGCCTAAGCCGTCTGTCAAGGCTAAGCCGGCTGCCAAGCCGAAAGCAGTCGCCAAGCCGAGGACGGTTGCCAAGCCAAAGACCGTCGCCAAGCTGAAGACGGTAGCCAACGGCAAGAAGGCCTCTAAGACCGTCGCACCCCCTGCAAAAGCCAAAGCTGTTGCCAAGGCATCAAAGGTGGTGCCTGCGAAGAGGAAGGCTGCGCCGAGCTCCAAGCCTGCGGCGAAGGTTGCCAAGACGTCTGCTAAGGCGACTCCGGGGAAGAAGGTAGCCGTTCCTAAGGTAGCGCCGAAGAAGGCGACCCAGGTGAAGAGCGGGAAGGCTAAGACGCCGGTGAAGAAAGCAACGGCCAAGAGGGCGGGGAAGAAGTAAATAGACCAGATAGCCCCTTAGGGGAATGAACTGCCTGTAGTTCATTAGTTGTGCATTAGGGGTGGTCTTGTAATTGTACCGGCTTCTGTTTGTTTATTTTTATTAAGTTAGTGTGTGTCTTGATCATCAAAATACAAATATAGAGAAGGGAATCTGAATATGTTCTTCACCGCTTACATTTTCCGACCACCTTTCCTGCGTTTAGGGTCATCGAACTTTAGCCAACTCTTAATTATTGGTACTACAAATTTATGAAACTGATTGTAATTAGGAATCTAAGAATGATGACAAAGTAAAATAACAAATTTGGTGTTTAAATTAGCTCTGTTTCAAATCCCTAAAAATCTTCTGCTAGATTTCAATTAACTAAAAGGTCATTCATAACAATTTCGAATGTCTATTCCTCATATAGTAACAAATTAATGTGGCCCAAAGCCTAAACTCGGTATTGCTAAAATAGGCAACCTAATAAATTTTGATGACGTGTAATCTTATCATAAAATATTTTCCCTCTATAAATGGTACAAGTAAATCTTTTAGTTTGGCATATGTACAAGTATACAAACATGAAAAGATGAAAATAGATTTAGGTCATTTTCCTTGGCTTCATATGCTATGCTTCAGTAATCAGTACTATTCACATACCTTATTTGTGATTCTCTTTACAATGTGTTTCTAAAAGCAAAGATGTTCTCTACATGATTTGAGTTGATGAATTTAGTCCTAAGTCAGGGTTGATAATTTCGATATTCCAAAATGTCTAGGTTAGGAATTTAGGATTGATATTTTGGTTTAGAGAAAGCAGAAAGAAGGATAACATGATTGTAGGATAAAATACACATATAACTAAGATATACAAAGTATGTAGTAAGAGAAACATGAGAAAACACATATATGAGGAAGCAGTCTGGGTCACCGACTCACTCTCCCTTATGGGCGGTTCTGAGTTCAATACTCCATGGAGGTAGTTTGAACTTCATTTACCATAGGCTCCCCGACCTCCCTCGCTTGACTCCCTCTAGGGTAAAAAAAGAGAAAACACATCCTTTAGATAATTCATCAAGGTCAAACGGGAATACAAAACCCAAAACCAATTCCTTTAGACAATTCAAGTGTTAGTATTTGCGTTCTTATAATACTAAATAGGAACTCATGAGGAGAACCTTCTCTCATCCCCTTTCACGGAAAGGAGAGAGCATATGAGTTAAACACTTAAACCAAGCACTCAATTATGTTATCTTGAGTTCACTAATTAAGATCTTTTATAAAACATCATACACAATTGAACCAATAAGAAACACATAATCATTGCTTTTAACAGGCCACATACAATTTCAAACTACTTTTATTGTTTTATGTTTACACCACCATCAAAGTACAGTCAAATCATTGTAATTGATCTTTGTCAACTCATCTTCACTCTAATAATATTATATTTTCTTTCATTTTCTCTTTTCCAGCCTCCACATTATCAATATTGTCAATTAATGGCCCCATCATCCAGGGGCGGATCTAGCATTTATGTTCAGGTGAGGCCAAAATTTAATTAAATAACATATATTACAAAAAAATGTCAAAATGTGGTAAAATAATATATATTACAAAAAATTTCAAAATGTGGTATTATAGAAACGTCAAAGAAAAAAGTAAATATTATCGAACCGACAATACAATTATCTTAAAAGTCATAGATATCAAACCGAAGTTTTATCGGTTACCTAGATAAACCGATTTTTTAGGTCAGTTTCTCGGAAACCAGATAAACCGATTTTTTTAACTCTAAAATCCGCACTCTGTGTAAAAAAATTATTTTCACCTACCAAACCCAATGTATTCAACTAATTAATTTTTCAGACCAATATTCAAAAGCCCAATGAATTGAACTAATTAATTTTTAGAACAATATTCAAAAAGCTCAATTAATTGGACTAATTAATTTTTGCATGCTAGTATTCAAAAGCCTAAAACTCAGTCTTTAAGATTTGTGTAAGGGAAGAAGAGATTGTTTGGGAAAAAACTAAAATTTTTAAAATAGAATGCTCTAGGACTTGGTTGAAAAATATAAAACCATTATTGCTCACCCTGGGGATCAAACACTAGACCTCACACTGCTCAATCAAGCTACTACCATCATGCCAATATAGCTTTTGTTTACATGACGTTAGTGTTTACTATACCTTTTTTTCACATCACATATATAATATATAATAGTAACTTTTTTTAAGGCTGGGCCTAGGCCCTCCCTGAACCTATGCCGGATCCGCCCCTGCCATCATCGTTACCAACCCCATTTTAAATTATTATTTTTTAAATAAGGTTAATGGATATGTTTAATTTTGAGAGGATTAATGGATTATGGAAATGTTTGTTAGTTTATTATAATTTTTATTTTAATACATTTCATGGATTGTCAAAGTCTAATACTATTACATTCTAATAAAAATTTAAAAAATGTTGATAGAAGTAGAGATCGATTAATTTGGAGAGCTATAGTAGCCGGAAAATAAATGGATTAATTATCCTTGTAGAACTAAAAGTATACGTCAGTGCACAAATAGGAGCAAAAAACTAAACAATGGTTCATAAGACTAATTATATGTGTTTGGACAAATATACCCTTGTAGATATTGAAATGTTTTAATTCATAATAAAATCATAAAAAAATAATAAATGTTTTTTTTTAAAATAAAAAAATAAAAAACAAAAAAAATCACCGCCTCCTCTGCTACCCCACCACCACCACCTCCGGTCACCGGGGAGGGGGGGGGGGGGGGGGGATGCCACATGCATTAGGAATGCCATATTTATGGCAATTTCAATGAAAATTTTGGTATTCTCAAAGAATAATATGCCGTTTTTTATCATTTTCAGAAAAATGACATTTTTTACACCGATCGAAGGTGGTGGTGCAGAGAGACAGTACACGCGGTGAGAAAGGCATCCATATTTTGTTTTAATTTTTATGGCTTTTACTATTTTTTATTATTATTTTTTTATTTTTTTATTTTATAAGTATTTTATTAATTTTTATTATTTTTCTACGATTTTTATTATTTTTTACGAACTTACTATGAATTAAAACATTTAATTATGACTTTTAACTATGATAAAAAAAATTATGACTTTTAAGTATCTTTTACTCATATTTAAATGAGAGATGAGAATGAAATGAAAAAACACGCATGGTTCCAAATAGGAGTAGTATGATCCTATTTTGAAATAAAAATATAAGACGTTCTATTTTTGATTTTTACTCTAGTTTTACTCCTATTTGAGGTAATTTATAGAAAATAAATCGAACCACCAAATGATAGTCACTTATCACAGTTTTTGTGTAAACTCTAACTCTAATTCTCTAAATAGGGAATGTACAGAAGAGACTTGGACATTTTCTATTTACAAGGAACCAATGCCTCCATTGTGAAGATCCCATTCATAGCACTATATGTTGAGCCATGTATAATTAATTAAAATTGCAACTATACAGGTCAACATAGTAGCTGTGTTGAAACGTTTGAAAGTATTTCAATTGAATAACATTTTACTCTTTGGCATTAACTTTTTTCAATGATTAAGATTTAACATTTATTCGCAGTTGAGAGATTCATACAATTTTGAACGATTATAATAATTTTAATTATTTTGGGCGACCGTTGCTTTTATTGCAGTCATAAAGCGTATTCCTGGACTCATCATATCCCGGAGTAACTAGTCATGCACCCCATGCCATCAATGTATTAAATTCTCTCTTTTATTTGTTCCTTGAAATTTTATTTGAATCTTAATCATCATAACTAAAAGTCTGATGAAGCAAGCAAATAAAAGAGATGGGTGTGCATACTTGTTACTAAAGTTATAATTAATTAAGATTATTTTAGTTTCATCACACTTGATCCTTTTCAAGTGATCTTAATTCATTCTAATGATATTGTACATATTTATTTTTATGATCCATCATGTAATTGAAAAAATCACTGGAGACAAAAGATTTTTTTTATTGGAGGCAATTACTCTAACCACAAAAATGTTTTTTTTCCAATAATCTTATCATGCTACAAAGATTTATTGGGGGCATGAGCTCCCATCAACTTGTGTATTGTAATTGTAAAACTGTAAAAGATACACTAATTAAAAAATTACCAAATGAACATTCTCCCATCCTTGATTTTCCCGGGCTGTGTTTATCGGCTAGTACAAGTCTACACCCTACCCCAAGCTTACCCATATATCATTACGGCACTTGAGAGCCCGATGGGTAAGTACATGCCTCCAAATTAGTCCATTCACCAGGGCAAGTTGGGAGCCCATTAATCTAACTTTTGAGTCTCGAGTCTTGATAGCCTACTAGCCTAGTTAAATGTTAAAAGTACAAAAATAGTTACTCAAGTGTGATTAGAATTTTTGGATTAGAGGCAAGAATTGAATAATATGGTTCAAATAAAAACTATGGACGAAAATATGACTAAAGTGATTATGAGTATACTTTTATGATTACTTTGATGTAAAACATGTCCGATAGTGAAATATGTTGGAAAATTTAGGAGTAGTATTTCATATGAATAAAATTTGACTTTGATGGACTTTTCTCAATAATGAAGATTTAATATTTATATATAAGGGAATTGTATAGTTTCAAATGACAACAATATTTTCTGTCTTAACAAAATGACAATAATATTTTAAGTACTTTTGGTCGCTCTTTTTGCAGTCGTAAGTGTATTCCTGGATTCGTTTAATTTTATACTTTTATCCTAGGATTGGTAAACTGGTCATGCACCCATTGTTTCCGACTTTCCGGTGTATTCAGTTGATGGATTTGAGGATGGGGGGAGCACCTTCGCTTCCAACCCTGAAATTTAGCATTAGTACTTACAAGTACAGCACCCGTGCGATGCACGGTGGGTGAGTTTGTTGGATGAGTATAATTACCGTTAGACTATAAAATCTAATTGAAAATAAAGTTAAATATCATAAATTGTGACTATTAAGAAATGAAATTGTAATACGTAAGTTTATTGTAATATGTAATGTGATTTTAATACAATATGAAATTTTAGAGATTATGGAATGCTTCCTTATAGACAACATTCATGGTTTCATCTATCTGGTAGTCATCTACGTCAACATCGTTGATATCCAAATCTTGCGTGAAATAACTACACAAAGAAACATTAGTGTTGTACAAGATACTATCTGTGTGATTGGATGAAACTGACGTAGATCGTAGGTCATACGATCTCTTTTGAATTAGATTCAGCCTCGTAATAGGTGTTTGTTTGGAGAGTACACTTGACACTGATGGTTGAGCGCTCATCA